TTTTTTTTTTTTGGGTTCCAGGAGAACCAAAATCTGTTTATGTGAGGAACTTGCCTTCCACCATCACAAGTACAGATATTCAGCAAGAATTTGAGAATTTTGGGAGAATCAAGTATGACGGAGTTTTCTTGAGGAATCGTGCGGTCTGTTGTCTTGCCAGCTATCTCTTATGTGTATAATTTATGTGCTAGTGGAGTATCTGAATGTGCTTGTTGTGGACAGGATACTGGTGTCTGCTATGCCTTTGTTGAATTTGAAGATATTCAGAGTGTTAGGAATGCACTTCAGGTTAGAAACTTTTCCAGTTGGGAAGGAGATGCTTCCTCTTTTGCTTCATCTTCATCTTCATCTTTTCTTTCTTTTTTTCTTCCTTCCTTCCTTTTTGTGTTTATATTGTTATTTGAGCTGGTTCAGTTGCGGTATTCTAAGGAATTTAATGACTGCCTCCATGCTTAAGCTACCATGTACTTGACCTCCAATATGTTTTCCTTTTTTCTGCCTGCTGATATTCTTTACTTATGGCTCCACTGTAAAACTGGTAAATGGTGATTGCCCAAATGACAGTGGGTTGAGAATTTTGTTTATTGTAGGCTTCTCCTATTCAATTGGCTGGAAGGAAAGTGTACATTGAGGAGAGAAGGCCTAATAGTGGTGCCACTCGTGGTGGAAGTATGTGTTTTTATCCTCACTTTTGTACTTTTTTTATATATCTGTTTTACTGGCCAATATTTAGGCACCTCTGTTCAGTTGTTTCATCCTCCTGTTGGTTCATATTTTTTGTTGTTGCTATTGTATAGTATATTACTTCCCAAAAGAGTGTTTTCTTTTCTCTTCAAATTTGAAGGCAAATTTGTGTTCGAGAAGCATATAGTATAAGTTTCTTTTCTTTCTTTTGTTTTTCCAATGGTGTTGAGGCACTGAACAACCACAGATAAAAAAGTTTAATTACAAAAATGAAGAAAGAAAATACAAAAATGAGAATTATCTTTAGGTTTGGAATAGCAAATACTCCAGAACCAGTGAGACACCTTTCTTTCTCACAATCTGTGCCCTCGTCTTGGTATAACATGCAAATGCTTCTTTCAGTAACGTTATGACCCTTTGGAAGTGGCCTTTATGACCCTTTGTAAGGGCCCATCCTCATGTAACTAAGGAAGAAGAAAAAAAAAAGCAGTAACTTCATGACAGGCTTAAACATAAAAACCTTTGATATGTATATTATTTGTATTTTAGTTCTTTTTTTTAAGGGGTTGATCTGAGAAATAACTATTTTGTCCTTAATCATCAGGAAGTGGAGGAAGAGGCAGAGGAGGAGGTCGAGGTGGAAGAACTTATGGAAGATGAGCACAACCGAAGAGGGGTGAGAACAAATGGCTTACATCGGCACTTGGTGCAACAACTATGGCCGAATTACAAAACATTGCCTCAATTTTCTCATTCCGCCATATCTCTAGATTTGAAGAGAAAGAGGCTTATGCTTCTCTCGTTTTTGAATCCGGACTTTTTTTTTTTGTTG